CGGTGAACATGAAGGAACAATACCGGGAAACGCTCTTGTTGTTGACCCAAAGAGGCAATTTCGACCATTGACTAAATTTGGTAATAACTTTTTAAATCGCTTTCAATGCTCCCTTTTGCCCAATCCGGTCTTGGACAGCGTTACACTCGTCGATACACCTGGGATCCTTAGTGGTGAGAAGCAGAGACTTGACAGAGGCTATGATTTTACTGGTGTTATTGAATGGTTCGCGGACAGAGTAGATAGAATTATTCTTCTCTTTGACGCCCACAAATTAGACATATCCGATGAATTTAAACGGGCAATAGAGACTCTTAAGGTAGTTGTAAATTGCCTTAACTCGATATTCCAGTGTATTTACTTGCTTATTTAATAAGCTTGTTTGGCTTTTCCATTAACTCTTTAAAAGTTTGCGTTGCATATTTAATAGGACTAATGTAATATTATTTCAATGGCCTTTGTCAGTTCTATTTACTATCTGATCTTCACATTTTCAACTAGTAATGGCTCAGATGTATGGTTTTATTTGTTCCATTATGTCTTTGTTCGTCATTTAGATTCTTACAATGGCAATCTTCTACTTAACGTTTTTTATCCTTGTTTCATACTTTTCTTCTTATAAATATTATGTGTTTAGTCTTTAACTTGGCCCTAGTATATTTTTCTTTACAGAAAATTCCTTTTTTCGGTTTAAGTGAGTTTTGAAATTGCCAGCTTTTAGTTTTTTACTGCTATATCTACTGATTTCAACGTTATTAATCACTTGGCATGCTACACAGGAAATTTAGATGAATTTAAATAAAAATTCGTAAGCATTTATTGCAATGGGCTTTCAATAATGTAATCTTTATTACGGAAATGCGCCCAATCACTGCTCTAATCACGGAAGAATACGTGACAACATTGGAAACGGTACAGAGTATGTTTTTCGAAGTTTCCCTAAAAAATCTTTGCTTTAAGTTGACAACCTAGTTCTAATCAGTTCTTCCTAATCACAATGTTTATTTTTCTACATTTTTTAGATAGCCTTAATGCCTTATTAAACTAATTTTCAATCGGGCTTTAAATACTATTACCGGAGGAAATTATGCTAATTCTTCGTTAACTTCATCGTTTTAGGGCAACGAGGATAAGATTCGTATTGTGCTTAACAAAGCTGATATGGTAGATTCCCAACAATTGATGCGCGTCTATGGTGCACTAATGTGGAGTCTCGGCAAAATATTATACACGCCTGAGGTTGCTCGGGTCTATATCGGAACCTTTTGGGACAAACCTCTTCATTTTGATACAAACAGAAAGTTGTTCGAACTTGAAGAACTTGATCTGTTTAAGGATTTAAGAACACTTCCTGGTAATGCCGCACTTCGCAAACTTAATGATCTTATAAGACGTGCAAGACTTGCTAAGGTGAGCCCTGCCGTTTACCTATATTTTTTGCTACAACTATTAACATTGTCATTATTCTGAAATTCCTTATTTAACTGCATGTCTGCTTTTTGATGTTTTAGAATGCCCAGTTTACCTAACCTCACTATTGCATACTCCTAATTTATAAATCTAAAAATCTGTTTACCAGTGTCGACTTACAATTTCCACAGGCTTGATTACTATGTGAAGGATAAACTTTTGTTAATATGTCAAATAAAATATCAGCTGACGCATTGCTCAATCTCTCCTTGGTCGCCAGCATTTTAAAGTGCTGCTATTCTCTAAACGTGTGATATAGTGTGATATGCCTACAGCATCCTCTCTAAAACTAAGCTGACTTCCTTACATTTAAATTATTGGGATAAAATGTGGTTCATTAATATAATTGTATTTGCCTCACACTTGGTATAGGAGCCTAAAGTATGTGAGTCTGCAAACTAATACATTAATATCATGTTAATTCTATTTATTGAATTTATCAAAAATACACTATCAGGCCTTTTGTGGCACCTTTGCTTATTATTATCAATAATAATAATCTGTCGAAATCAGTATTCATATACTCGCAACAGGCCCAACTATGCTAGTACATTATCAGGAATCATCTGATTTAATTGTGTACTTTAATGTTCTAAGCAATTTTGGGTACATTGGTTAGTTTGTGCTATTGTGCAATTGTACGAATAAAATGCGGGTTTAAAAAAAATTTTCCCAGATAAGATTGATGTCAACACCTCCATTTCGTATATAAGTATATGACAAGACGTCCTCCAACGTTTCGGGCGAAGACGGCCTGAGCTTTCGTTCGTCATGTAGCGAACACCGTCGGAGCTGGGACTCATTCTTTTAAGAGCCTTAAGTTAATGCTAAGTAAAGAAGACAAACTGGCTATTTTTCTATATGATATATACACTCATTACGAGCCAAATTTAAGATATAGATGGATATAGAACGGTTTGGATAATTAACGTATACTCTAGGTGTCTGTTCGTATATGCATGTTAACGTTTGCACACAAAACAGATAGCTCAGAGCAATTAGAAAAAGCTTAACATCAGCCCTGGGTCATCAAGGCATAATGACCCAAGGAAAAATGAACAGAAAAAAGGGATGACTGGTATTGAAATGTTATTGTGTACACATGAAAATCAGGTTACGAAACCACCAGTCCGAACCCGTT